AGAAAAAAAAAAAGATGGGGAAAAAAATAGAAAAGAAAAAAAAGCAACTCCGAACTGGATCATCTTTACAAGGGATAGAAAGGGCTCCGCAAGAACAAAAAAAGCAAACCGACAAAACCACCCCCCCAGGCAATGTCTGATTTATATCATCTTAATAATAATAAAATAATAATAATAATAAAGGTGTATGAAAACAAAAGGACTCCAGGAAACCTTGGGATTAAAAGTAACACCCCAAACCCTAAACCGTTCAGTGATGTGAAAAGCTCAGGGTTTTTTTGGGAGGAGTGGGGGAACTTCAGAAAACTGAAATGATGCCAAATGACATCTTCCTTAGCACTTCTCCTTGAATCTCATGCCACCAGCCACCGAGATTTTAGGCTGCATTGTGGGGGTTTTTGGGCCATGTCCCACCATGGGTGGGGTTGTATTGCCCTGCTCCTTGTCCCTCATCCTTCTCAGCACACTGGTGCAGCCAAAGTTGAGGGCCAGGCTGCAAGACCCCATTCTCAGCAAGGTCCGTAGGCAAAAGGAGGTTGGAACCTTCCTTGCTCTGAATCCCTCAGTTTTGGGCCAAGGGGGATACTGGGATTCAGGGCAGAGCATATGGGGATCTACACATCTTAGGGAGGATTCAAGACCTTTCATCACTTCCAGGCACCTCAGCAACACCCCCAGCACGGAGACCCACTGGGGTTCAGCACCTGACTCTGCATCTCCACCCTGAAACTCCTCGGAGTTCCGTCTCTCCTCAGAGACATAATCCCACCACTCAGCCCCAGGGCAGCAACAGAAGGATATTCTGGAGCTGGGAGTCGAAGGGAGTGGGGAGAAGAGGAACACCCCCCCAAAAAAACCACCAGCATCACTTTTCACATCACTCTGGTCACAGCTCAAAAGCGCAGGGGAAGTGGCAAGGCCATCGTCTTGGACAGGTCAAAATAAACTCAGAATCATCATCAAAGCCCCCCTCCCCCCCCCATCCCAAATAATGCCAAAAAAAAAAAAAATAAAAGGTCATTTCTGGGTCTCAACGTTAAGAAACATAAAGTGTTAGACTGTACCTATTAATGCTCACTATTCCAACCATTTTTTTCTTTTTAAAGTTTTACAAAATGAATTACCGTCACTTTTTAAACATTGTGTAAGAAGAAATGAGTGTGCACAACTCTACACTTTTCTAGCATTCTTGAACTAATTCACAAATGCGAGAAAATGAAAAAAATAAAAAAACAAACCATGGGAAAAAACAAACAAACGAAAAAAAAGGAAGATGAATGTAGGTAGTTTGATGTTATAAACTATACAGGAATGAAGCGCTTGTTGCCACAGAAAGAACAGGGATGGGACGTTCCCCCTGTTCAGTTTTGCGTGCTAAGAGGGTCATTTTTTATTCTTTTATTATAAACACTATTAAATTCCGACTGCGTTTTTGGTTTTTTTTTTTCTCCTTTATCTGAATATACAAGAACATTCATTATCAAATGTTCGTTATCATCAATACTACAAAGAACGAGACACAAATCGCAAGAAACAATGGAAAATGTTAATAAAGCTGAAAGAATCGTCGAGTTTTTTTTTGTGATTTTTTTTAATTTTTATTTTTTTTTGAGTTTCTGCAGGGTTTTTTTTGTTTGTGGTTTTTTTTGTGGTTTTTTTTTTCTTTTTGTTTTGTTTTGTTTTTTTTTGGTATCGAAGTCAGGTTTTTCTGGGCAGAAAAAAAAAATAATAATAAAAAAAGAAGAAGAAAAAAACCCACAACACTCAGGGCTGGAGTAGGGGAGGAGAATGGGGAGGAGAAACAAAACCTAAAAATAAAAAAAAAGCAAAGAAAAAGGCAAGCAAGCAGCTATGCCAATACAAACTGGAGGGACCAGTCGGGGGATCCAGGAGGTGATTTGCAAAGTACCATGGAGGAGGGAGTGCCTGGCCCAGGCAGGGGGTGGCACGGGCAGGGGGACAGGCAGGAGGGGCAGCGGCTGCAGGGCAGGAGAAGGCAGCCCTGGCATGGGCTGGCTCTGGTAAGCAGGTGGTTTCAGCTCAGTCCCAGTTGGTTCTCAGGAGGGACTGTGGCATTCCTGCAGGCATGGCACTGCTGCTGCTCCAGAGAACAGACCTGACCCAGTCCCACGTCCCTGAAATGCTTTGTCAGAACAGTTTTGTGTAAAACAAGCTGGAAGTGGACAAAAGGCAGCACCGAGGGAGGCCACAGGAGGAGGAGGAGGAATGCAGGAAGGTGCAGGGCTGGGGAAGGTGAGCAGCACCCAACTGTCCTTGCACGGAAACACCTTCTCGGAGCACTTAACAGAGCTGGGAGGCAGCCCTAAACCTCGCATGTCGCATCCCACTCTGCCACAGGGTCCCCATCCCCAGCATGGATGTGAAAGCAGCAGGAAGTGTCTCACTGTTGGACACTCAAAGCCCCTGCGCTGCAAGATGACATTGTGTCAGAGCTGTGGGCGCACCAATGCTGTGCCCTGAAAGCCAACGACCATTATTTTTTTCCAGCGGAAGGGTGGAAATTTTTTTTGGCAGAGCTTTAAACAGTTCTTGCTTAACGCCGCTCTGTGCTGGCAGTTCCCACCTCAAGACCAGCACAAGCAGGGTGGGCATGGACATTCAAAAGCATGAGATGCAGCCAAGAGGTATTGGGATCCATCACAAGGTGCAAGGCATGCTGCACCCACACCAGTCCCCATGACACCCAGGGTCTTGCTGCGGGCTGGCTCAGCTTCCTCGTGCCCGCTGGAAGAACCGACGGCCGAAAGTACCGCCCTGGCACAGAGCTTAGCCCAGGGAAACTGGTGCTGCCTCTCCCTGCTTTTCCGTGAAAGCCATGTCCTCCCAAGCATCAGCCACCTGAAGGGGCGTTTCAGCAGGATGAAGCCTCGATTACCAGCCATCATTGCCTGTCCAAACAGTGGATCAGAAAAGCTGGGCAGAAAATCCCATAGTTTCTCCTGCGGTCACTGTTCAGAGTAACTCTTGGGATAAAACCAGCCCCTTCACAGCAGAAAGACATCCCCAAGGGAAGCATCCACTCATCCTTGAGGGCTTCACCCTCAAGCAAACCTGTGGCACTGTAACCAAAAGCATCCAACATGCTCAGCCCACCACATCCAGCCTCTGGGATCCTGCTGCCTGTCCCTCACTGCCAGCTTGGCAGGGCTTTGGGAATGCAAAGGGTGGCACGAACCTCTGCAGGTCCTGCCCACACTGGGGAACCCACTTCCTCCTCTCCCACACCGTGGCACACTCCTGGAAACATGAGTCAGCATCCTGTGACACTCTCCTCACCAGGAAAAGTCCACCACCAGCCTCCCTAGGTGCTGTGGGAAAACTGCATCGACTATCCATGCCTGATCCTGCACACTTCCACAGAGGTGCTCAGCAATTTGTTATCAGCGATGGCCGTTTCTCACCTGCCTCTGCCTCCTTTCCCGGCTCATCCAGCTCACAGCAGCCAGCAGGATGTGTGGCACCTACTGGAAATGAAGGGGAGCACACTGGCTCCTTCTATGTGCACAGGGGCTGTGCCCACCTCCCCTGTCACCGTGGGGCCCGAGGGACAGCTCACCGAGGCAGGGCTGGGCACGTGAGGCGATGCTGGGGCCAGCAGAGATGAGGTGGTAGCAGGCCTGCGGTGGCGATTCCTACGGAGAGGTAGCACGAGAGAGGGGGGCGAGGGGGTTGCCTGCCAGTGAGGGAGCGAGACGTGACTCCTCAGAAAGACACCGAGCGTGAGGTTGTACACTGGTCTGGGGTTGGTTTGTGTGGTGGTGGTGGTGGTGGTGGATTTTTGTTTTTCCTCCTTAAAATCCTTCTACCTGTTGACATATCCTTCGGAGCGAAAGGGTGAGGGGGAGGGAGTGGTGTTGTGGCGGTGGTGGTGGGGACGGGGAAGAGCGGCTTCTACCCAGAAAAGAAAGGGAAGAGAGTATAAAGAAGTGTCCAGATTGGCTGAAAAAAGCATCCCGACGAAGAGAAGAGAAGAGAAGGAGTCTTCTTGTGTGTGCTGATTGGGTTCACCTCCAGTCTGACTGCTGCGGTGTTAGGAGAGGCCCCCTCCCCTCCCGCCCCCGCCGGGGCCGGCTCAGCCAGGGATGCAATTTGCTGGGAGATCAGTTGGAGGTATCAGAGTGAACGCTGCCAGGGCCTTCTGTGGGGGAGGTCACCGATGATGGGGTAGTAGCGTCTTGCCAACCTCCATTAGCCTGTGGGAAGGGAGACACGGAGACGTCAGTCACCCAATGGCATGGCACACATGGCCCTACCCAAGTCACCCACCCACCTCAGAACCCCCTGTTCCCCCCTCAGCAGGAACCAATGTATGAGGTAGAGATTTCCCATCTGGCTCTCCCCTCCCACCCCATCCATAGGGATGGGGCCAGAAACAATTCTGTTGCAAAGAGGGGTTTTGATAAACTGCAAGTGCTTATAGAACGTCGGTCCATTAAAAGAAAACTATTTCTCAAAAAAGGCCTGAGCTCTGGTTGCTTGGGTTTTCTTTTACCCCCAGATATGACCCTTCCCCACATGGAAGGAGGAAAATAGCAAACACCTCAGTCCAGAACCCCCTGCCTGAATGTTATCTGAACCCAAGTGCTAAGAACCTGCAGAACAAGCAACAGTCCCAAGGGACTGCTGAGCTGTGCCATGTCCCCCAGAATAGCTCCATGTCCCCACCTCCTTGAGGGAAGCCAAGCCATAGTGCAAGAGAGATGCCACCTGAGGGTTTGTACACCAAAGCACGGCAGAAAACTTGTTTCTTCTTCTAAAAACAGGTGCTGAGCTAAATTCTCTTAAGCCTCTTAAGAGCAGAGCTACTGGAGGGCCTTGGCTGCCACAGGCATGAGCCAGCAGTGCACAGAAGCTGCTCCTCTGTGGCTGCCATCCCTTTGGAGAGGAGCAGATGTCACACCCAACCTCCTCTGCTCACTGTGACATTGATTCAGTGCTTGGCTAATTAATCCTTCCCAAGCGCTGCCCAAGCTCCAGTTGGCAGCAGTTGCTGTCCCGCTTTAGCAGGTTAGCAAACCCCACTCCACCTTGGGTGCAAGTGTGAAACCAGACTGTGCACAAGTACACTGCCAGCCCAGTGAACCCCTTGCCTGCAGAGACCCCGTGCCCACTGCCCCCACCAGCTTCCACCCACACCCGGGCCCCAGCCCACCGTTCCCTGTGCTCCCCGAGATGCAATATCCACCCTTACATGTCTTGGACTGCTGCAAGAGGCAGCAATTACTGTAGATTATCGGCCCGACAATGACAGGCCGCGTAAAGAGAGACACAGAGCCAACTCCACCGCCCCGAGACTGGCATATTCAAGTACACTTAGGACATTAATAGCAATTTACGTGCCATCAGTGAGAGAGAACCACAATAGCTGTGCTGGCAGCCTCTTATTACCAAGCCTGTTATTTGTTGGAGTTACAAGCTATAATCACAACAGAAACTTTCAAAACCCTTATCTTCTGTGACGCACCAAATCTATTTCAGAGCCGTAATTGCTATGTCACCGGAGAGTTTGCTGCTTAATGCACTCAGATGCCATTTAGTGTTTGCAGGGTCATTACGGCGAGCAGGAGGGGGGAGAGCAGAGGGGGCCGTGTGGAGCAGGGCTCCGTCCCTATTGTGCTCAACTATTTTTAGCGAGGCTTTTGCACGCCAGTCACGGCTGGAAGGAGCGAGAGGGAGAGCGTCTTGCAGGCAGTCACTGCAGTGTCTCGATGTTTAGCACCCCTCTCCCCAAAATGCTGGGAAGCCCCATGGCACTCCAGTCTGGGAGTCAGCCTTCCTGTGTTGCGGGAGTTTGTGTGGCTGAACACCACCCTGGTCACATCCAGTGGGAATTTAAGGGAATGGTGGGGAGAGACCTTCACAGACCCCGCACCCTCCTGCTCACCCTAACTGGGAAGGCCAGAAGGCACAGGTAAAGCAACGGAAAGGAGGCCCCAAGGTTGGTCATGACATCTTGACACCATCCTTTGGTATGGACAAGCCCTCCATAAGGAGGCCAGATCCTCCCCCGGGCAGAGGGCACGCAGACACCATCCCCACTCATTCAACACTCTGCCACTCCCCACTCCACCTCTGCACGGATCAAGTCACATGCAAGATGCAGCCAAGTCCACCCAGATGGCTCTGCCTCTTTCTGAATCATGGAGATCCCTTGGGATCTGAGTGTACTAAATCGCTTGGGATCTCCCTGAAAGTCTTTTGAGGAGGCTGGTGCTCCTTGCAGATCCTCTAAGAAGTGTCTGCACACAGCTGTGACTTCCTCAGGAGGGGTAGAAACCAAAGACAGAGCAATGATCTCCAAGACATCTCTTCAGATGTTCCCTTCTGATGCCAAAAAACAGGCAAGGCCTTGGTGACTGTCCAAGTCTGGAGCCCCGGTGATGGATTGCTGAAGCCACTGGTTTTGGTGCCCGTTTCCACAGGTCTCAGCATTTTTGTCACCTCCAGCAAGTCTGGCTGGCTCCCTGCCCAGGCCTCCTACGTGGGGCTGGGAGACGACTTTCTGCCAATTTTTAAAAGCGCCTTCTACTTAGCACAGAGGCTGTCTTGGCATCCCACCTTCTGTGACCAAATCCCTGTCCCACCATCGATGGCCCACGGTGTCAGGTCAGCCTGCAAACACACCAGATACTGGCAAGGCTGACAGAGCAGCCTTAAAGAGGTTTCAGACCTCTGAGCTTTTAAGGGCCTCAACACAATATCAACTGAAGGTCTTATTACACACCAGAGAATCCACCTTTGTCTGGATATCACTTTCCAAGGATCACAGCCAGGCATTCCTGGCCATTAGAATACACCAAGGTACCTCTAATGGATGGAGTTTGGGCACTGAAGCCCTGCCAGACCAACTTCCACACCCCAGTTGGTGGTTATGACCATGAACCGTAGCTTGACCACGATGGTGAACCGCAGTTTGCTGAGGAGCAGAGCAACAACTTTCTTCCCAAGGTTCAAATTCTTAGAGCAAAAGATCTGAGCCCAAGTGAGGAGCTCTCAGTTCCTACAGGTATCAATGCCTGGTGATCCTTGCTGACAAGAGTGGATCCAAAACTCTCATCACACCCACCACCACCATTCCTGTCACACACACTACTCTGTAAACAGGCACAGTTCTCCACAGCAGTGGTTTTAAATCAAAAACCTCACACTCTGATGAACTTTAAAACAGTCTCTCATCTTAGACTTTTAAAAGATCTATAAATTAAACTAAAGTCCAAAAAGAAATTTCTGAAAAGGCTATTCTTTAAGATGACTACAGTTCACTCATTCACTAGGACGTGGGGGAACTAGAACACTGTGGATTTACAGCCATGGGACAGTGGCAGGAAGGGCAATGTTTTGGGATGGGACCCTCCAGAGGACTACAGCAATAAAGCCAACTGCAACTTCTACTCGAGCCCAACAGAACCTGAGCATCTAAATGCTTTGAAATCCCTAGACTCAGGGACCTCCTGGGTACACAGGTGGAGCCCTGCAACACTGTCCACAGAGCCCAGACACTTAAAAACCCTCACTTCATGGTGCAAAACCCTACACCTCAACGTTTGCCAAAAGGGCTGGCTCAGGCCCCAAACACCCCCTCCTTTCAGATGGGGGGTGGGTCTTTCCTTCCTCTCAGTGTGACCTGAGCCTGGGTATCCTCGAGGCAGCTCTGGCCTCTACCACCCCTCCATCGCCACGAGCATCCCCATCCCTTGCTGGGACCGGTGCTGACTGACGCTGTCTCCACCTGTGGAGGAGAAGGAATCTGTTCTCCCTCTGCCTCAGCCCTCCCTGTGGGTCACGGGGATGGCGATGGCTGGGACACCGCCCATTATCCTGCTAACGATGCAGAACTGACTCCAGCCCTTTCCGCCCTGCGGAGTGGCCTGTCAGCCGTCGAGCAGCAGAGCCACGGAAGGAGCTGGGCTTTGGGTAGATTCCTCTTCTCAGCTGTCACGACTTACACGCGTTTAAAAATTCATCTGCCATCAAGGAAGGCAAACCCCGAGCGTTGTGTCCCTTGCCAAGGTTTCCAGCCGTGGAGCCGGGCAACCTGCCGCTGCCTTCCCGGCACTGACGGGCTCGGGGGATGACTTAACCTCAGCCCCGTGCAGACATCATTGTGACAAGGCTCTTGACTAGGTTTCGGCTCATCTCCTTCCAGCAGCTCATGGGGATGCTCGGGTGATGCGGGGACGGCAGCTTTCTGTGTCACAATCAGCTTTCCTCTGCATTCTGCTGCCCTTCCTTGGCATTAAAGGGTTCAGGGAGAGTCAGGGAAGCCCTGCCTGCCACGAGCCAGTGCAGCCACTCTGACTGCACTGAGGAGTTCCCCAGGACCTTGTCCAGGGCAGCCACACTTCAGGGTGGATAAACGGAGATCAATGGACCTCACTGGGTGGGAAGACATTAAGGGACGATAAAAGCTCCAGGATGGAGTTTGTGTCCTGTATCCCCAGGATACAGGGGAAACAAAACATTTTGGTACAGAGAGACAACCCAGAAGATGCCTCCCAAACTATCTGCTTAGCTCCTGTCTCATTCCCCTTGACTACCACAGCTTTATGGGGAAATGAGCAGTCACCCACAAACCTGTGCCACAAACCCTTTGCCACCCAGCCCATCTCTTAATAACATCCAGGCCAATCCGGGCTTCTGTCCTCCCTGAAAACCGGCCTGAGGAGACATGAGGTGCATTTGGAAAGCACAGGGGGAAACAATGAGCTCCTGTCATGCTCAGCTCAGCAGTTCCTAGTGCTGCTCGTGGGAACACTGGTTCTCCCATTACCACAGTCAGAAACATCAGTCCATGTTTTTTTGGTCCCATTTGGCTTTCAAGTTTCCCCTCTCTCTTTCTTCTCCCCTCCCCTGCTGTACCCTCCCTGCCTTGCAATCCTTGGCAGGAACTTCCCTCCCCTTCCAAAATTTTGGCTTAACCCAGGCCACTGTTATTTTCCAAGCCAACTGCAACTGTAATCAGCTCAGCCTCTTTCCTTGGGGGTATTTTAATTTACACAAAAGTATCATCTCTTATCATGATCAGCCTGCGATTCATTTACTCTCCAAGTATTAAAAAGCCAGAAAGGGAATAAATTCAGCGCACGGAGAAATTAATGTGGAACGATAGGCTCTTTCATGTGGCATTTCCAAGCGCCGTTTTTGCAAGGGGCTTATGTAATGAGACATAATTATCTGCACATGTTCAATTACATTACTTCACAAATCCTCCCTGCCTCTGCCTCCTTGACGTCAAGCCGCCCACTAAGCCCCGGTGCCCGCAGGAGAGGGGAGCACAGCCCCCCGTCCCACTGCACCCCTTTCCCTGCACCCCCTCCCCACGCCGGCAGTGGCCATCCCATAACGATGGCCCAAAGATGGTCAGATGTCAGACTGCCACAAATGGTACAAGCTTGGCCAGCAGGGTGATGGGACTGGACAGTGCACCCTACGGGGGTCTTGGCTGCAGGACCACCATCCCACCCAGAGGATCCCTTCCTAGCTCAAGACCACCCCATTTAGACCTTCAGCCTCCTGGATGGGGATCGTGGCAGCCTGTTATGTCCAGGGCCAGCTGCCCCCTCGTCTGTGCCACCCCAGACACCGCTGCCACCACCCACTTGACGCTCACATAGCCTCCTTTTCCAGGCTGCCCTCCTCTCCCAGCTTGCTGTCACCGCCACTGAGATGGTGGACGATTGATCTGAGAAATGAAGTTGGATTGCTGTCCCGAATCTACACTGGGTTCTCCTTGTGTGTGTCTGATCGATTTCCCCCTGTGCGACACAGCTTGTCGCTACGAATTTTCATGCTAGTCAGAACCCGCCAGCGCACCCAAGAACAAGGAGAAGATGCTGCAGAGACTGCCCTCCCCCTTGCATCCTCCCCCAGCCTGGTTGGGCGAGGTTTTCTTGGGTTGACGTTGGTTGGCTCTGTGGGGTTTTTTCTCCTTTCGTTTGCGACCGCTATTGCCGCCAACCCCATCGCCACCGCACCTTCGGATGCCAGCCAGGGGTGGGTTATTTTTAGATGGTCGCTCAAGGACTGGCCCTCTGCACGGAGCCACCTCTGGACCAGGGCGTTCGCGGTGACATTCCCCACCGTGGTTACACGAGGTGTCACCTGTTTAGCAGCTCCTCTCGGCCGAGCGCATGTGGCCGCAGGTGCCAGGCGAACGCTGATCGGCTCTGACAGTCCTAGACGCCAGCTGCCTGCACAAAGCCTGCCCCGTCGCCACTTTTTTTGTGGGCAAAGCTCTGCCGTTGGCGTGACCGATACAGAAGCAATAAACTAGGTGACCGTAAAAGCAAAGACAAGTCCGACTAAGTGGCATTCTGAGCCCTATGGCTTTGAAATAATTGGTAGTGAGAGAACAAGGAAAAAAAAAAACACCCAAAAAAACAAGAACCCGAGTCTATTTTTTTTTTTCTTACACTGATGCCCTGCGGACTATACATCTGACTTGCCGCGAGTCCGTCACTGTATCCTCCTGTCTGGCTGATAACATGGCGAAGGGTATCCACCTAAACAGACCAACAACAACAAAGAAACAAATTAGAGTGAATGAAAGGTTAGTGGCCAAAGCCGCTTCCGTTGATCTTTGGCAAGATAAAACAGTAACAAGAACAATAATCACGATAATCCTCATAATAAAAACAAAGGCATATATTCAAAGAGGGGTAAAAGAGAGCTGCAGTTGGTCTTGTGGAGAGAGATGAGACAGAGGACTGCTCCTGCCTCCCTCACCATCCCTTGCCTGCCCCAGTGGCCCTATCATGCTCTCCTTGGTCCCAAGTCTTTCGAGAAAAAGAGCGGAGAGGGAGAACAGCGTGGCAAGCGTGGGGTGGGATCTTCTGGAGCACATCATTGCGGCCAGCTCCACCATCATGCTCAAGTTCCTGCTCCTACCCCCTTCCACCCCTGACCCCAAGCACTGGAAGCTCACAGCAATGGAAGGAGATCCTTTGGAGTTGGCTGAGCGCCTTCACTGCGGAGGGCCCAGAGAGGAAATATACCTACCACGGCAAAGGCACCAGCTGCTCTCCTCCAGGTGCCCTGCTCCTCTCCCTTCACTGCCCCCAGCCCAGCCCCAGCTGTTTGTTATGTGTGGTGAGCACGTCTCATCACCCACGGATGATGTGTGCTCCACATTCAGCACCATCAGGGAGCAGCCTTGACTTGAGAGCTCTCCTTGCCCAATGCATAAGTGTCCAAGTGGCTGTCATCTCTCAACACAGAACAGAGCCTTAGATGCCAGAGAGGGGACTCGTGGCATATCTGGACATCTGATGGGAGGTGGGAGATCTGAGTGAGATTCTGGTTATTTTAAATTCTTTATTTTTGCCCCAAGCGTGGGCTGGCATTCTGGGAACGCTGCTCAAAGTTCCCTTGCTCTCTCCTGTTTGTGTGTGCATGAGTGGTGTGAGTGCCTGTGCTTTGGGGAGGTGGGGACATGGTGAAGGGTGGCTTTTAATTATAAAAAAATAAATTTAAAAAAATTTAGCTACGTATTTGAACATTTATTGCCTTTTAGGAGATACCTGGTTTGGCATCAAAGGAGTCGTGGAAGCCTTTTAAAATGAGACACCAGTCCAAACATCTGGCCCCTTCCCTTGAAAGAATAAAGCACGCAGAACCTAAACCTCAGCTGCTTTTGTTTGACTTTTGCCTATTCTCCTACACCTTCTTTCCTCCTAGTATGACTATCAAGCCAGAGCCAAATGCATTCACAAAGTGTGGGCAAGTCTCCTCAAGACCATGGTTGTTGGTTTGGTTGGGCGTTTGGTTTTAGTTTCTTTTGGATTGATTTTTTTTTTTTTTTGGTGGTTGTTTCTGTTGCCTTTTTTTTGGTCGGTCGGTTTTTCGGTTTGGTTTGCCTTTTTTAAGTGTTGGTTGGTTCATTTGTGCTGGTTGAGATTTGCTCTTTTCAGACGGGAGGGAGAAGTGCCAATACAATCAGAGGCTCCTCCAACACTAATGCATTCACTGGCAGTACATCGGATGGGTCCCTACCTGTGACTGCACGTTGGCTCCAACCTGGGCCCCTTGGTAAGAATCCCCATTGAGAGACTGCACGCTCATGAACAAATCTCCAGAGTTTGACATGTTAAAAGAACTGGAAGAACCTGGAAAGGAAAGAGTGAGGCACCTGAATCACAGAAAGGAAAAAAGATCCACCCCATGACTCTCAGCCAAGAGGAAGGAACAACATGCAAAGCAACCACAAAAACAAAACACAGTCAGGTTAGTAGTATGAAGAACAGAGCAAGCAAAAAAAAAAAAGGATGCACTCCTGAGGTTATTCAAAGCCACATGTTGTTACAGCTCAATGCCAAGAACATTCTTCAACTGCTCCTCAGCTGGAGGAAGGATTCTTCATGCTTTTGACTGAGACAAACAAAATACAGCCTGGAGGACTCGGACAGCCCTTTCCCTTCATTTCAGGGCATCAGAATCCTTCAGGCAGCTTCGAAAAATCTCGGTTGTTGGGGGTGTCCACCCAGCAGACTGCGCTGGAGAACAGAATCACCCAGACAAGCCTCGCTATCAGGAGCAGAAGCCTTTGCAGCGGGCAAACCAAGCCCATGCTGAGAAGCTCACACCAGGGTGGGTAATTCCACTCTGTGCTGCTCTCTGCAGGGTGAGCACATCCAGACCCCATCCAGTTTCACGGCTGGAGCTCCAGCTGAGCCACAGCGGGCTCTGCGAGGGAGCGGAGTGTGGAGTTTGCCTTCAGGACACTAGGAACCCATCACTGGTGGGAACTGCAGTGCACCAGGAGCAAAGTCTTGCCAAAAATGTGAAGGCACCTGGGCTAGATTCCCAGTGCCCATGACGTTGGTAAGTGTCTTCCATTGTGATGGGCCATGAGAGAACACAAAGTTGTTATGGCTCTCCTGGGCCAGCTGCCCCAGAGGAATGAGCTCTGTAAGCAAATTCCCCACTGCATGGACATGCACCAGTCGCCAATGTTACGCTAAAAAATGATAACCGGTGAAGACAACTGGGTGGGATTAGGAGAAAAAAAAAAAAAAATAAAAAAGGAAAAAAAACATCTTTTGCAGAAACAAGGTTTTCTGCTTCCAGCTTTGAGATATCTGAGCACCTCCTCAACCACTGAATGGGAGAAACAAACCCATCATGTAACTGGAAGGCAGGGAAGGAGGCAAGGGGGTTAAAAATAAATAAAAAGGTTTTATGGGATTATTTCAGAACTTATCGTGCAGATCAGCGCGTTAAGTGTGAGACAGCTCAACGTGCAAGGTTTGGTTATATACATGACGTTAGCCTTGGAAAGGAGAGACTTCAGGGGCCCAGGTCAGCTATGCTTTCAGCTCCAGTCCCAAATATACTCTCATCATCTACACTGCCACTTCCAGCTTGGAAGACTGGCAACCACAGTCCTGGTGGAATTGCCCAACTATGGCTCATGCGTATGCTCTGAGAAGTGTCTGGCAATCCCCCTCCCCTTGCTGGAGAGGGGAAAAACACACTGGTCAGATCCCAGTTCTGCCCTGGAGGTGGACCAGGAAGGCTCTTCTAAAGGAAGCCACCTCTGAGAAAGGTCAGGGAGCAGGTGGGAGATCTATGCTGGAGACTTCCGTGTTCACTAAATTCTCTGTTGCTCTCTTGGTGACTGGCTCTTCTGTCAGGTGCTGGCAATTCTCAGAATTGAAGGAAAGCAGAAACATTGCCGCCAGATACAACGCCCCAGAGTGTCAAGAGAAAGACTTATCTTGAGCACAATGAGTCTTGGATCAGGACCCTCCCACCAGTGCCTGAAAAGAGTGGAGCCAGGAATAGCTCATTGTCTGTGCTCACTGTCAACCCTGCCCAACCTGTTCCACAGAGCAATCCCACAGCGCTGCGTAAAATAACAGGGACTAGTCAGAAGGCAGCTGTAACCATTGCCTCCTCTGCTCAGCTGGCAAAGGGCTCCTGTCACTTCCCAACCTCTCAGGTTACTTGCTATTTTAAAGGCAAAAAACCTAGGGAAATAAGCTGGCACACTGAGGACAGCCCACTCTGACAGTGCTCAACTTTAAGCATGAAGACAGGCATGTTTCACACATATAAAGATGCTTCGACCCCGTTATCTGAGCGATTGCTTTGACCACTAGAATAAAAGCACAAGGGCAGAAAAACACAGCTTTGTATTCCTGCAGAGGCTTAGAACCAAAAGACTCTGCAGCTACTGCTCAGAAGCAGCAGAGAATACGCTCCTATTCTTCTCGGGTGAGCACAAACCTTTGGGATCACACAAATAATCAGTGGCATTGCTGGGAAAAGGACTCTGGAATCCCTGAGCACCTGGCTTGGCACTGCTATCACTCTGCCCCCAGCAAAGCAACATTTCATCCCACCTTCCCCCACCAAAAGAAAATTACAACAACAATAACAAATAAAAATGCCATAAACTTAACTGGTATTTTATTGAAACTTAACAAACCTGCCCATAAAATTGAGATTGGGAAGGAGGAAATAAAAATAAACAAACAGCCGCAAACTCCAGTTCTGAAGAGCGACGGTGTCTTGGAAATCATGAGGAGCGCTGGAAATGTCACTTACAAGATATACACTGCTATTGGCAAGGGGTATTTTTACAATATATGTGCATATCTAAACGGTAAATATGTCTTGCCGCTGATGTGGATGCAAAGATAAATATGCGCATACCAATGGCCCCGCACGTATGGATGCATTTGTATCAGAGCCGTAATTGCGGAGCCCTCTGTGCCGCCGCGCTGCTGCTTCAGCACTCCAGCGTCTGCCTCCTCACCACGTCTGAAAATTACGGCAGCCCAACATCTCAGAGACACGGCTAAGAGGAGCTGACACGCTCGGGTGGGAGAGGGGGCGGGAACGAGAAGAGGCCTGAAAATTAAGGCTCAGGTATCCTCCAGGAATCCAAGTCAAATCCTTTCGCTAGAGGAGGCTCTGTTGTAAATCTAATCTGTCTCTCTGAAAGGCTCCGCCCTCAACACACCGTGGGTCTTTGATGGTCATAATTTGGTCGAGGGCTCCTCAGGAACTGAGAGGTAACAAATGAGAGAAGCTCGTCTTTGAGCTTGAAAAGGGCTCTGATGTTGGCATGGAAGTCCCTTGATGCCATTGTGTGTGGACTCAAAAACCTACTAGAAACCCCGACATTTTTTATGACTTGAAGCACTGTGAAGGAGTGGTTTATCTTCAGCACACAGACAACTCATTAAACCCATCACCATCAAGACCTATCACCACCTTAGTACTGAGTTTCTATCAGGCCAGCACTGGCTTTAAGAGTGCTGGGAATCTTTAAGCAAGCTATGGCTGTCAGATCTTACCCCTGGGTGAAAGCCTACATCAAAACAATGTATGTGAAGAGATTTCTTACATCCCTAATGTTTCTGATGAGCCAAATCCACTTCAGCTTTGCCTCCAATTCAAAAGTCTTCAAAAGCTTAACTGCTGGTATTTCTTGCACCACTTCTCCAGCTCTTCAGAAAGCTTCTTCTCCAGGTTCTGTAATGTCTTCTGTGTTCTGATGATCTCAACTTCCAACTCAAATTTTCCGGGACCTCTTAGAAGTCCTTTTCTCTAAAGTACCTGACAACTCAGACAGCATCAAGAACAAACACGACCAAAGCTGAAGTCAATGGCAATGACACAATAACTTTGTGTCAATGGCAATAACTTTTCCTTGTCTCTCTATTATGGCCAAAGATGAGGGAAGAACATGATGGACCACACAGCTTCTCAGCTGGACAAAGCCATTGAGTTTGAAAGCAGGTCTAAAAGCCAGGGATGATCCAGCAGGACACTTGCCAACACTCTAGACAGTGAGGCCACGACCAGAACAGTCTCTGCTGAAGCAGGGTCCTCTCCAGCACTGTGTTTTGGATACAAATGGACAAAGGCAGAGAAGAAACAGCAAGACCTGTGCCTGATGAAGTACATTTCCAGACAACAGCTTTGCAAGAAGATTTTACGAAACAAAAAGGTAAGCAGGAAAAAAACCCCACAGCTCAGGGCAATTTTGGCTGCTCTGCATGGAAGATTTCACTGGATGTCATCACCTGTGTGTGGCCCTTGAGGACTCTGGTTGGCAAAAGGGTCTGCCCAGATAAAACAGCTTTCATTTGCCATGTGGTTTTTGTGCTGAGATTGTCCAGGCAATCAAAGTGAGGATGGGGAGTTGTTAGCCCAAATGAGCCAGACATCTCAGCTTATTTGAACATCTGGCTGATAAAGCCCAACTGCGTGTATTCACGATGAAAAGGTGTTTGACATTCAGGCCTGGGTGACTGAGGATGGGGGACCCTGCTTTGAACGTGCCAGATGGCCAGACAGATGCAATCCTTGCCCTTGTCAATGTGTGGCCAATCTCTTTGACTGACTGAAGCCATTCACTGATCTCCAGTAACATGGGCATCAATGCAGAGAACAGATGGGCCTGCGTAGCCACAGCAGAAATGAATTTAGCTCCTGTCCCAGGTCCCATTGCATCCAGTTCCACCTCCTCTTCCAGCATCATGGCCCTCCAGGGACTACATGGCTGGCCGTTTCTTCCTCATGACCTGTCCTCTGCCTACTTTCTTTCCACATGTCCTACAATGTATTTAAACCAGAAGGTCTGAAAAATTCCCAGCAAATCCTATCTTTGTTCAGGTTCCTTCCTCACCAAAGTCTCAGCCAGTGATCTGGGAACAGATAGAAGTCCATGGTATAAAAGGGGAGGCATCATCCATCTTAGTCCTTCACCTCTTCATCCACTTCCAGGTTCCTGCCTGGGGAATTCAACACATTGGGATGGCTCATGGTCCCAGATAGAATCCTCCAAATCCTCCTCAGACAGGTATTTTAGACCCAGTGTGTACAGGTGTGCTTCCTGCTGCCAGCACCTACAGGGCAACCTGAAGTCGGTCACACGACTCCAGATGTCTTCAGGGTCTGTCTTTGTTCCAAAATGTGACAGTGCAGAGATGCCTGACTGAGCTGTTACATCTTCACGGTCAGCTGGGGAGATCTCAACCTGGGATGGCATTGTTGGGAGATAAAAATCTCAGGCAATTCCAGGTGTCTTCTCAGGGGAGGACATATCAGGACATCCAGATCCACTCTCTCTGCCAGCCCACCCAGAGCCCACTGCAGTGCTGACAGCAGGGCCTCCCCGCTGCTTTGCCACTGTTGCAGTCTACAGACAGGGTGGTGGGATGCAGGACAGGTTAGAAACACTTTATTTATAGCAGAAGAAGGATCTCCATGGGCTATGAGTTCCCCTTGCCCTGCCTTAGCACTGCTGACACATCAGGCAAGTGAAAAGAGGTCAATGATTCCAGAGTGCAGACGAGTGAGCCAGAAAGAGGACCCAGGAGCTCAAGTTTTACCTGTTAATAACAGGACTGTTTGTCCTTCCTTGAAAGAGCAGTGTTACCCAGGGATTATCTCAGCTGTTTACTGCAGGGTACTGGCCAATTTATCTCTGAAACAACCGTGGGGAAGGCAAAGAAACAGCCTCGCACCGGAGCACTACTTAACTGGGCAGGCTCTGGGGAAATGCTTATTCTCCTACATGCAGGCCAGATCCAAAACCACTTAAACCATCTGAAGTTCCTCCCTTGCTATTCCAGACCTTTAGATCTGACTCTTGCTGAAGAAAGAGAAGAAGCAGGAAAGCTGTGTTTCCTTGCTCCAAGGTGACGCGGGCTGCAGGATAGCATTCCAGGCAGCAGGCATCTCCCCCATCACACACAATTTTGTCCTCTCCAGCAGAATTGCCTCCAGCCTTTTCTATAGAGGGGTGTTAAGAGACCCCCACCTGACCAGGTATTTCTTTGGAAAGACTGACATCTTTTAAACTGCAGCTAAATCTTCAGCAGTTCAGACAACTGAAGTGGAACAAAAATCTCCAAGCAAACCAAAAAGAATAAAACAAATTTACCGCCCTTGTAGAGCTTTGCTGCATCTACCTGAGCCCTCAGAGCATCTCATCTGAGCCAGGGCAAGGAGGAGGTGGCAGAAATGTGTCCCCCCAGCACTTCTGACCTGCAACATCTCTGCTCCTCGTGGCTCTGGGGGACAGACCCTTAGAAGTACCATGTCCACTGGAAATTAAAGAGTTGTGTGTAGGAACTTCTCTCCACTGCCCAACTGAATAAGCCCCTCTACCACTTGCTCTGTCAAAGTCATCCACCTGAGCCCCTTCAAGGTGTGGAGGAGCTCCCCAGCACAGAGCAGTCAATCCCCACTTAGGCATTAGCCCGTGGGTATCGGGCTGCCTTTGCCTTCCTGCTGGGGGACTGGTTCTGGCCATCAGCCAGAGACCCATGCCACTGGTTCCTCTCTTTCTTTGTTCCCTGGTTCTCCACTTCCCACACAAAGCCCCCAGATCCAGGGGTGCTTCTGGGGTGTGATTCTTCTTACACCTGCACAGGCAGGGTTGTGTTCGCTATAGAGGCATGTTCTGACAACAACCAGCATTTACACAGTCTCCTTAACGTCTTGCTGCCCCCCATCCTCTTTACTCCTTTCTTTCCTCTGAGTAGCCCACCTGATAACAGCAAGCCCTGGGAAAGGGCACCATAAGCAGACACCAAGCTCAAAGGCACAAGAGTGGCACATTCCCACTCTTCCTCCCACCCCTAAAAAGAAAGCAGGCACACAGATATTTGCACGGATAACAAAGTTCATTGCACCTACAAAATTCACTTGTGTCCCTTCTTTTAAACAAATCCCAATTTTCCATTGCTCTTGGGAGCACAACCAGAGCCCCGGATCAGTTTTGGGTCAGCCGACCTTGCAGAAGGCACCACGCATGAACTAAGCATCGTTCTCTAGCAGAGGAGTTGAAATCTGGGCAAAGTGCTCTGTGCCTTTGACCCTCAAAACAAACAAATGGAAGCAACAGCAAATGGGAAGGAAAGGGGGAAAGGGAAGGAAAAGACCCATGAATTTCTCTGGATCGCTCTGACACAAAGGGAAAATAAAATTCACACAGAGAGCACACTCTTGCAGGTGATCCAGACACTGTCATGTAAGCAACCAAAGATAACCACAATAACCACAAAATCAAAGGATACAAATTTAGCCAAAACAACCCCCATAATGGCATGAGTTAGGACATCCCAGAAATGCTGGGGTTTATCCATTAGGGTCACTCATGCTTTCATTGTATTGTGAAATACAATCATTATGAAATAACTTTTCCATTACTTTTTCTCTCCCCACAAAGTGCAAGCAATCCCAGCAACAGTAATCACATAATTTTTCAGGGTTTGTATTTACCATCCATGCATATAACCCCCAACATAGTCACAAGGTTCTGATCACATCCTTTTTCCAATGAAAAACAGAACAGGAAAGGGAAAGAGGAAAAAACTGAGAAATGGGGGAAAAAAAATGCAAAGAAAATAAAGTACCCCCTTCCCCCCAAACCAAATCCATTTCTCCTTTTCAATTTTTTAAAGACCACAAAAGTGAGCAAACTAGACCCAGAAAATAAAAGTTGAAATAACCAAGAGGAGAAAACAAGAGAGAGAGATTAGAGGGAGGGGGGAGAACAAACAAAAAACCGAACACTAACGACCCGAAACAAAAGAAAAATAAAAACTAACCAGCTGAATTGGGAGTTGAGGGTGAGTTAGCCTGGCTTCCGTGGGCTGACACATTGGTAGCCGTGACAGCCGTTTTGGCAGCATAAATATTGGCTTCCTCTTGAAATTTACCTATGTTCTTCTTGTACCGGATTCTCTTATTTCCAAACCAGTTTGATACCTAGAGCGAGTTTAAGAGAAGACAAAGACATTAACGTTTCAGCTTCGGCGAGATCACCTGGGTGAGGAAGGTGGATCAGTTCAGGTTAAGCAGTGCAATATTCTTTTGCCCCCCAAGTTTTCCTAGCCGTGGAGGGAAGCACCTTCTACCCATATATGGCAGACCAAGCTCAGTAAAGGTGATGGGACCCTCTTGGGAGCACTGGGAATGTGTGATATATCTGGTTCCTCTAGAGATGGGATATCCACTTTAGGGAAATGGGATGCTCCACAGGAATCACCACCCCATGAAAATATAAGATGGATTGAAAAAAGCCTGAATTTTGAAAAAAAAAAAGTATGTGTCATTCCAGAACTTTTTTTTGCCTCCTCCTTAGTATCCCTTTGATGGGACACATGCCCTCATTCCCAGATGCCTGTTCTCCCTTTGGAGAAGCTTATGTGGCTTTCAGGGAGAACACCCAGCAAACTATCTGGGGCCTGGCTGACACACAAAATTGCCTTGATATTACTAAAGCTCCTCTTTGATCCATCTGAGTAAAATCAGTGCACAAGGCCAGAACTGGATGCTCTTCATCCAGCTGAGCTTGGCTTTGCAAGGTATAGCACAAGCCACCACATACACTGGGAACTTCAGTGGAAGGTTGGAGAGGGAGCACAGGGCTCGTCCTAAAACCTCACTTTGGTCCCAGGAAACAAATGAACCTTTAGGAAAGAGGTGGGAGATGTTTCCACTGTGTTTGCCCAGAGGCCTGCTGATAATGATAATTCTTGTTCACTTGCAGGCACTATGTCACACTGAACTACTTCAGAGAAGACATGGGAAATATTTGACCTACAGTTTGGGAAGCAGCTCTCAGCTTCTTCTTCAACAACACTGAACACAGAGTCAGGGAAATGCCTTATTATGTGCAGGTCTCTAAGCAGGAGACAACCTCCAGTCACCTTCCCTGAGAAAGCTCAACAGGATGAAGCAAATGGACAAATGCCTGAGGATGCCACAACTCTCCCAGAAGAGTTTCAACACCCCTGGATTTGCCTGGAGCTGCAACCTTGAGCTAGCAGATCAACACTTTGGTGGGACTCCTTTGCCTGCTGGTGAGCAAGTTCATCAGTGCTCCCCCTTTCAACTGGACTGAACAAGCACCAAGACACAGAATACAATAATGGATGTTCATCCTTGGAAACCCATGACTTTCTCCTTATCTAAGGAAAATGTTTGGGCTTGAGTGTTGATAACTGAAACCCACAAGATTTATTCTTGTGATGATCTCTATCTGCGGTGCTCCTAAAGCACTCAGCAGCTTCCATGCAGAAGCAGCTTCATCCACCAATTCACCTGCTACTGAGGTGCAGGTATCCAACCCTGCACTGCTGCAGGGCAGGAAAAAAAAATATAACCTGCTGAGACAGATCAGCACCCAATACAGATCTGGGAGCGAACATCTGGATGGCACCAGGAGCAGCAGTTGTTTGCAAGGAGCTCCATTTCACCTCTTGGTCCGCCTTTCTCTCTAATGACACTTAGAGCTCCTTTGTGATCTTCCCACTTGGTCACCTCTCAACAGTTCCTCTGGCTTCAAATGCTGCAATCAGTGGGTGAACTCTGAGTAACATAGGGCAGGAAGATGGGATAAATGGCCACCACAATCAATCTTCATCTAAAAACTTGTGAAGCAAAGAACTTGCCTGGCCTGCTCAGCCTTTGAGTTCAGATCAACTCTGCTTGTGACTGACACAGATTCATGCGGCCCGTGTTCCCACTTAGTCCCAGCAAAACCAAACCTGGATGTGTGTTTGCTTCTACCTTCTCTGGATGAACAAAGGGAGGGAGATCCTGGTGACAGGCACAGAGCAGCCTGGATACAGCACAGTCAGAAAACAACCTAAGTGCAAAGTTTCTCCTGGGCATTTTGTCTTTGCAAGGGAAAAGTTGCAAGTGTGAACAGATGAATTAGAAGTGAGAGGGGAAACATCAGGACAGCTGGAGCTTTACTTTAGCCAGTATGTGCTGTCTCTCATAGGTAACTCTGGGAAGAATCAACATTTGGGTCTTGTGACCCAGGGGAGGCAACTGGAGTCACTCAGCAGGCATTCAACACGGTGACGACACCTACCCTTGGATGCTGTTGCTCCTGCTGAAGGCAGACATGCTCTCACAAGGACAACAGATGCTACTGCTGTCTTCAGTTTACTCAAGCCACGAGCAGGCACGTGCCTGGGGCTGGGAAGCAGCCCAAGACGGGGAATGCAATGGGAGCCTAGAGGGACCACTGAGCTCACATGAGGACAGGCCTACCAGAGGCCACATAGATTGGCTCTCAACCACACAGCTTGCTCCAAAATGTGAGGAAATAAAGAAGGGCAGGTCTGAGCAATGTAGGGCTGAACACTTCAAGGACTGACTGCACTCCTCACAAATCACAGCAGCTCCCAGGTCAAAGCTACAGACTCCAGAAACTATGTGGCTGCCTTGAATGCATGGAAATAACTCAAGTTTGTCTTTACTGACCACCCTTTTTTGAGGGATAAGCAAGTCAGGGAGATGTCACGTTCTGCAGAACAAGGGTAATGACAGAGACAAATGACCCTGAGAAAGCCCATCCTCCTTGAGCACAAACTATAACCATTAGCCTGTCTGACCCAGATCCTTCCCACCAGGACCTTTCCATCCCACCTTATCAAGCAAAATCTGCACAACTCTTTCTACTGCTTTTAATCCCTTGGCTTAAAGAATGGACTTGCAGCTCAAACAAGTTCTTCCTGCAAGCCAGCCCAGCACTAATTCCTTGAGGAATTAGGACTTTGGCTATCTGGGAGGAACCACAGAGTTTCTGTGCTGTTAGCACCTTGGCTGCACGCACAACCATCGCTCCAGGAACTCTTCATCCCTCCTAAATCCTCTCCCAAACTCTCCTTTTCCATCCACGGGTTCAATCCGCAAGTGCCATCTGCTTTCCCATCCACTCTCACTAACTTGTACTAAGCTCATTTATTAATTAAATGCTCAACACTGGGACGTGACTGACTTGCCTGAGGTCTGGAATGCCCCTCGCTGAGCTGAGGTTTCCCATCTTTGATCTCTCTTACCTGTGAGACTGTGATGCCGCATTTCTTGGCTAGCTCTTCTTTGGCTTCCTCACTGGGGTAAGGGTTGCTGAGATGGGAATAGAAATACTCATTCAGGATTTCCGTAGCCTGCTTGTTGAAGTTCCGTCTCTTCCGCCTTCACGTGAATAAAGAGGGAGAAATAGAAGGAAAAGGAAAGGGAATCAGTGCCAGGCATCCAGAAATAGAAATGCAGTTTTACATACTCTGACTTTCCAACTTCCCTCCCTCCTTCCCCTGCTCCTGCGAGTATGGAGTGCCATACTTCATGGCCAGGAATTTTCTCATCTGCACCTTGCTGGTGACATCTCTCTCAGCACCTTCCAAAGCAAGTAATTCTACACCTCAAACTATCCCTGTACCCTCCAGCTCAAAGAGTCTGAAAACCGGCATCCAGCTCCTCCACCTGGGAAGGTGACTCCTGACACCTGGTTGTTGTGGCCAAAGACATCACTGCTACTCTGCAAAGCTCCATGCTGAGGAAGCAGCCCTGGATATATCCCTGGGGAAGTCTGTTCCAATTACACATAGGCATTATCTGTCTGCTGTCTCCTTTCTTGAACCCCCAGTGTAGCTGCCTCTCCTCCCTTTTGCAAGCTGAAGCCCAAGCTACAGCCTGCACGTAACCAGCTTGGGAAAATGAAATAATTTTACAGCAAATCAAAAATCTGGGACAATGGAAACAGTAGTAAAAGAGTAGGAATCTAGAGGGGACAGGATGGCCCCGAGGATGAGCTTTTATCCATAACTGAAGTGCACATTTTCATCACAGAAAGTTGCAATATGCCAGAGAATTTCCTTCTGCCACAGCAAAACCAGGATGTACAATTCTCAAGGTACAGCTGGGAGCCTCCTCGAGACAGAAGCAGGATGTCTTGGATTGCTGTCCCCTCCCCTGCTGAGCCACAGACAACCAAGGGATAAGGAAGTTAATAACCTCTGCGGCTCAAGACCAGGAGACATGGCCCTTCAGGTGGACCTGAATTCACTCCGCAACCTCTGAACACCTCGCCGGGGCCTCCACAACACTGAATGGTGGGCGGGGAGAAGGCGGGATGAACTCACCGTGCGTCCAGAAATCGGGAGCGCAAGATCATGACGGCTTCACACGTGCTCTGCTTCAGCTGCATCTGGATGGAGCTGAACTTGCGGTGGATGATGCTCACCATCCGCTCGATCTCCTTCGGCGAGATGGGTCGGGTCCGGCTCTGCTCACGCAGCAGGTTCATCACGTGGGTGGTGAATTCGTTGCATGCCTGGGATGGCAAGAAAAGCAAAAGAAACCCCAGGATCGGAAGGTCATTCGACGGTGTTGAGGACAGGACAGAGACAGCGCTGCTAAGGAGGGAGACCCGAGTGGAGGCCTCAGTGGATGGGGCTTTTCAGGGCAGACCCAGACCAAGCATGAAGAAGTCCCAGCCACTATTTTTCTGGTTGCAACAGGAGGAGCTATAGATGTATTTGAGGAGGACCATGAACCTTTTGACCCACTGTCCCTCCTCCTACAGCCCCACCACATGCGCTGCAGAGCCCCCTGTGCTTCACAGAAGCAGCTCCCAGAGAGACACAGCCCTGTTCCACACTCTTGGCACATCAGATAAGAAGTAAATAATGATAATAATTAAAGCCTGACTGAGGCAGGAGCCCTGACAAGTAAGGGCAAGCAGGTAACAATCCCAATTAGTTTGCTGCTGGCACAGCACTGTCTGCTGCTTCTGCTGTCCCCACGCTGTGCCGAGAGAACAGGGCAGCGAGTGGAGCCAGGGGACAAGGCAGAGATTTTGAGGTCAGATGAAGGCCACTTCATTGCCCTCTCTTTCATCTGCACGAGCACCTCATGGGCATGATGGGATCCTCTGATTCCCAGAACTAAGCCCCAGAAACCAGGTTGAGGGAAGCACTTGGACACTTGATGGCTGGAGATGCCTTTGGTGCTCATGGGACATGGGAGCTGCTCTGGGGACAGAGTCCCCAGCTCCCACCCCACTATGAAGAAAAAGGGGTAAGCAGGGGGAAGAAGTACTGGCTTTGTGGACAGGTGACATGGGTTTGACTTCCAGTGTCACACCCCACCTTTCCAAGCTGAATCCCCACCACGGCTCAGATCCAACAAAGAGACAACCCCGAGGCCAGCAGAGCCCCTCCAACTGCCCATCCCCAGCTTCAGCTGATGAGGAAGGAGCAGAAGGTCCATCCCTGAAGCCTATCTCTGTCTGTGCCAAGGGCCTCTCCTTGGACTTGGGTAGCAGAGGACAAAGTCTCTCTCTCCCTCTTCAGCCTGGGGCCTTGAAAGATGAGCCCTGACATGCTCTCCACTCCCACCCTTACGAGGTGGCTGAGGCTTCCTCTTATCGCAGAACCCCATCTCCATGCCTTGAGGGAGTGACAGCAAGGGTTGAGGAGAGTCACCAAAGGTCATTCTTCTAACCAGCCTTCTGCCTGCTCCCTGCCTCCTCTACTGCCCCGCCAAAATGTCTTTCATGCTGTGACAGCACTCGGCTTCTCCAACACCAGAGCCCTGCCTGGCCACTCTTGACTCCAGCTCCCACCCAAGGGTACCCATCTAATGTACCTCAGCTTGGCCACTGTGGCACCTCAAGGGGTAAGACATCCCCCATTCCCAGCACACATCCAGTTAGCCAGGTAAAACAGGTTGGCTCTAAACCAGAGACCTGAAACCCTGCCTGGTCCCTGGTTGTGGAGCTCATCCTGCACCCAAAAATAAGGGATGCCTTCTTGCTCACACTCCATAAACCACAACCTCTGGGTAGAAACCACAAGGGCAGTGGTGAAGAGAGGTCTGCAAAACATCTGGAAGCATTTGAAAGGAACTGGTTCTGAGCACTGGTCTGTGAATCTCTTCATGCAATTGTCAGTGTTACCAACAGCTGCATTTATGACCCAAACAGTTTTTCTTTTTCTTTTTAAAAGGATAATTTTCCACAAGAAAAAAGAAATTCTTTTCTGGAAAAAGAGTTTTTCAAGCAGAAAATGTATTCAAGGAAGATTTTGATTTTAAGTCTTGCTTGGAAAAAACTGTTGCCACCAAGGCCAGCACGATAAAGAGGGCTGGCTCCTCTTTCACAGGGCCAATTTTGGGCAAGATTTCGGGAGAGGAGTAGAAAGCAAAAGTCCAAGGGGCAACCCAGGCTGAGCGTATTCTCATGCCACATCCCAGCACAACCCCCCAGCTCTCCCAACCCTAAAAAAGCGTGTTTTCACTCCAATACCCAGCTGCATTTGCCCATACACTCCCAACAACAGATGTCAGTAGCGATCCAGGCTGTGCTCATCCACACCACCGTGCCGGCACTGAACGGCAGCTCTCCCACTCCGGCTGCTCCCATCATCCCACGACCACCAACCACCCCTCCGCCGCAAAGGAGCCTGTTACCTGCTCATATTTCTCCAGCTCCGTGTGGTAGATCTGTCGGATCTGGGAGAGTTTGGCTCTGTAGTCAGAGTGCTCCACCGAGTTGTCGGAGCCGGCTCCCCCTGATGCGGCCGCGGCGGCGGCAGCGGCGGCTGAGCCGCCTCCTTTTTCGGGGCCTGCCACCCCCTCAGCCAGGAGCATGTTGTCTAACCTCATCAGCTGGGGGTCCGTGGGCTCCTCTTCCTGCGCTCCCCGGATGCTCAGCACTGCCAGAGACACAAAGGGGAGAGGACTTAATTCAGGGAAGGGGATGCTTGTCCAAAGTTAGGCCATCAGCAGGGTTTTTCTTCCTTTACAAAAGGTACCCCAACAAGCTGGCGCTCCAAGCACTCATCACCAAGTGCAGCTACTTGGCTCTCCAGGGGCACTCCAGCTCCCTGCTTTCCCTGCTACCTCTTCCCCTCTTTCCTGCAGGAAAGAATTAGGGCAGAACTGGCAGCGAGCTCACCTCAGAGCTTAACCAGAAATCCACACTTTCTGTTCAAACAGGAGGCAAAACAAGCAACACCAACCAAAACCCCAATAAATGTACCCGTTCTTGCTACCAGAAGGGATAGGGACCATATCCCGACTCAAGTATGGGATGGGAAGTTAGGAGTCTCCAGTTCTCATCTCATCTCGCTCAGGGGTCCTCTCATGTCACCCAGAATGTCATTTACATCAACCCCAGATGGTAGAGAAAGACACACAGAGCCCAGGGTTGATGGTGCCTCGGTTTCCTCATTGTTAAATACAGACAGAGAGGGCTTGAAGGCCATGCTTTTAGCCACACAGTGGGACACGTGCAAAAAATGTATGAAATAAATTTTATTCTTTGGAAAATGGCTTTTTTTTTGAAGAATCCAGACATTCCACTGAAGTCTAAACCACGTCGAGAAAAGGAACAACAATAAATTAATCCTTCCAGAGCAACTTTCCAAGGAGAGAATCTTCCTCCCCTCTTTGTACTCCCTACATCAATTACTGCTCCAGCTGAAAGACCTTCTCCTGAGAGAGTTTTCCTGGAAAAACAACACGGGAGCATCCCGACTGCTTGGGTTGTCCCAGGTCTGAAGGACAGAGATGCCCTACATGCCCCTCCCCATGCCCCCCTCCATGGTCTGTGTTTGAAAACAGAAGGAAAACTTGAGATCTCCGCATGCATACACACAGAGCTGCAAAATAAATGAAATAAATACAATAAATCCTTGATGAGTGAACAAAAAAAAAGGCATTTCCTAAGAGAAATTAATTGTATTTCTCCATCTCATCTGGCACAGGAGCTCCAAGCACTTTGTAAACGCACACACACAGCCCCAGCACACACTCATTGCACATCCAGAGCTGGGAAAACACTGCATGGATAAAGCTGTGCCCACTACACCTGAGATGAATGTGACTCCCCCCTATGGCACAAGCAAGAGCAAGTGATTCTCCCTGTCATTCAGATAAAACCAAAAAGCAGAGGAAAATCAGTTGGCAACAAGAAGTAAAACCAGAGCAGCTAAAAACCCCCGGCAACCAGAGAGTATGGTCTTCCTCACGCTGAAGTAAGTTAAAGATACAACTAGTATCAGTAAAAAAAAAACTGAAGTAAAAGACCCTGTTGAGAGGTCTGGCTAAGTTTAAAAAGAAATTTTTTTTGAAAAAAAAAAAAAAGCCTCAAAGTCTACTGAAATTTCTATTTTCAGGACATTTTATTAATTAATTTCATTCACTTATTCATTCATGCATTTACTGGCATTTCTGCTATTGAAATATTCAGTGTTAACAAAGGTGGGAAGGTCGGGGGGGGAAGAAAAGAGAGAAAAAAAAACATCAAGAGTAAAACAGCCAATAAAATGAACTAATAATAAATAATTCCACGCTAGGGAGGATTGTTTCTGTATGGAGGAATGGGGGCATGCTGCCAAATTTGGAGCTGGGTGCCAGTTGCCGAGCCTTGAGGAGACAGGACCGGCATCTCCCCCCACCACAGGAGGCTTCCCACGGTACCTCTGGCACCCAGCCACGATGAATAAATCCAAGAGGAGAGGACAGATTTCATCAAGAAAATGGTCTGGGGTCTGAGGTCCAGACACCAAACTAAGATAAGAGATAAAAGTAGCCAAATTCCTTAAAAAGAGAAGAGGGAAGGTGACAGGCTACCTCAGGGAGAGAAAAAACTTGCTATGAAAATAAAAGAGAATAAATTCCTATTCTTCTAGGACAAAAAAAAAAAAAAATCAGTAAATTAAAGCACATCAAAAGCCCAAATACAAAAAGAAAGCAACACAGGTTAAAAAGAATAAAAAAAAAACCCAAAAAACAAAACCCAAAAAAACTCAAATAAACAAATCAAAAGCAGAGTTGCCAAAACAGGCGCATCTGGATTTCAAAAGGGAAGTATTTTTAGATTAAAAATCTCAGGAATCATTGACCTGACAGGTAGGCACGAGTGATTAATTAGTTTATGTTTAGAGAGCTGCTTCCTGATGAAAAGCACTGTGTATTCCTGTGAGCTTTATTCCTGCGCCACACGCGCAGACCAGCACCTGCTGGGTGGGTGCATTCCCAGCGCCCGACGGAGGGACATGTGTAACCCCCAGCAGTGACCTGAACCCAGCTGGGGACCATTTGGAGCCAGCCTGGTCTTGGCTGTTTGACTGAAATAAGGCACGGGACTAAATAAATGGAAAGGGCCGACGTGTCTAAGCAGGACTGACGCTGCCTATTTATCCCTGGAAAGCTGTGCTCAGCCGAGGAGAAGACAGAATGATTATTTGAAAGCTCCTTTTTTATCTTCCTGGTGTTGTCCCTGGCTCCAAACACTCCTCCTACCAGGATGCCCAGATTGCTGGGCTCCTTGGCAGCACCAACCCTCCAAACTGCCCCCTGTGATGGGATGTGGCTTCTGCTGGCTGGGGGGTTTCAGGGTGAGCTGGTACAGGCAGCACCCAACCTGTATTGCCTGGGCAGCTGACGGTGAAAGAACCCTGCTCTCTCACCAAATTAAAACAGAATAAATTAAGCAGAATGATCCTCGGTGGTCCAAGGGGCTACAGGCACGTAGGCATCCAGGTGTCCCCAGGACTCGCCATTTGCTGCTCCTGATTAAAGAAAGGGGGAAAAAAAAAAAGGAAGAACAAAAAGAAAGATAGCGACTGGCAGCCGGGGTGGGGGGAGGAAAATTCATGCAAGACTTTCTGTCCTTGGCTGCTTTCCTGCTGGCTCGGCAGCCCCCAGAGCCGCGGCACAAGCCACTAGATGGTGCTCGGCCCTCGCCAAGGTCCCCCACCGATCAAAATGGGTTTTTATATGTAAATATATACATACCCACATACGCAAATATATATGTGTGTGTTATATATATATATACATACACATGTGGGTGCATTCTAAAAGCAAACCCAAGCCATGTGCCTTGTCCCTGCCTGGCTGACTGGGGAGTGGAACAGAGGAGCATCCCTGTCACAGGGTCACCACCTCCCGTGGCAGCAGCGGGAGCAGCTGGAGACCACTGAGACACCAGTCTGCGGTCCGGTCATGGATGTCACCAGGGTCACAGAGACCTGTTCCAGCAGCTGGGAAATGGCTCCCAGCTCACACACTCGCTCCTCCTCCCTCTTGAGGAAGGTATCATAACCACAGGGTTCAGAGAATGTTGACGAGTCCTAGTCCTGGGCTGGTGGTGTGGCTGCAGTGCAGGACACAAGGAAGTGGTAGCAAGACTGACCTCAGAGAAGCAGGTGAGAAGACAATGACAGAAATAGCTCCCCATCTCCTTGTCTGCCCTGCAGTTCAGGGACACAGGATGGAAACCGCATCGACTACCCAAAGCTTCCACATCCTTCAAGATGCTTCCCACCAACATCTCCAAGGAGCAGCTGCAGAGCAGCCAGCTCCATGCTCACACGAGCTGAGCAGCCAGCACTCCACATGTGTCAGGGTCTCCACACCACAGCACCTGCACCTGGTGTCCCTGTGCGGTGTGGGTGGTGGGGCAGTCCCACGGGCTGAGGTACAGCCCAGGTGGGGGGCACAGGGCAGGAGAAACAGCCCTTGCCAGATGCCTTTGGAATGGACAGCACCCTGGGGATGGTCTGGGGCTGTGAAGACACCTAAGATATCCACGCAGGGTACTAAATTCCACTGGTCCTCTATGCCACCCTCCCCTTCCTTATTTACTCCATTTTCCTGGGAGCATTTTCCCAAAGGAATCTGAAAAGTGCAGGAGTTGAGCACACAGCCACCTCTCTTCTCCAAGGCCATGCCAAAATGTTTCCACTTAGCAACTCTTTTCTCTTAACTCCTTCCAAATCCTCCACATTAGAGGTGTGCAGGAAACACCAGAAGAACTACATTACAAAGGCAATCGAACATTGAGACTGTGGCTCAGCAGTAGACAACAGAAAAGGATGCTCAAACCTTCAAGCTCCACCTTTCTTCCAGAAAGGGCAGTTTATCCTACTGTGGTCAGTGTCCTTAAGCTGAGGGGATGTGGAAAACAGGGGGCTGTCCCAGCCAGACTCCCACCACGGGATATATATCCCCACAAGAGGCTGCAGGTTGTAGTGGTACCACACTCCCCCCCACTTCTAATTCTCATGCCTCTCCTTGGGTGTGCTCATCCCAGTTAGGTGCCAGCCAGGACTTCTGGGGTGGAAGCCAAAGACCAAGCAGGAGACACCAGAAGACGCTAAGCCAAGGTGGAGCAGTGGGAACAGCCTCTTCAGGAATGCAGTGGGAATATCTTGGAAGAAGAAGATACACTGAATGGCAATTTAGGTTGTGACAACAAAGGAAGAGGTTCCCCAGGGCTGGTGTGGCTGTTCTCTGCTGACCTCAGCAGCCAGAAGCACGATGCCATGAAATTCCTGTAACTGCCAGGTTAAGATTCCCGATAACGACATGACCTGGCAGCTCCTCTGCAGCCCCGTTTGCTGACACCCCCAGCCAAGGGCTGGACCCAGTAGCTGGGTGTTTAAACAAAGCCCTCCTACCAAGAAACCTGCTGGGTGGTTTTAAGGAGTTCAGGAGGAGCGCTTGCCCTGTTGCCCGAGCTCGGCTGCTTCTGAATGAGTTTTCTCATGGTTGTTTCTGCCCATTCCCAACTTGCTGAATTGCCTTTCCAGGGGGACATTTTAAAGGAGAAGGAGATTTCAAGTAAATGATTGCAACTTATCGAAAATAATGTGCTACTTAGCATCGGAGACAAGCATCCTGGCAGGCAGAAATGGGAAGCAGT